CTAACAGAGCTATGGATTTTGTGCTTGACAGGTTATTGAAAATTTAAGGCAATTAAATATAAATGTTTTGAGGCGAGTTTTTAAAAACACCAATAGTGGGTGAGAAACGAATGTTTGGAGGTAGAGTTCCACGATTTTGGTCCTGCAATGGAAAAAGCACGATTCCCATTGCACTTAGTCCTGGATCTAGACATTGACAGAAGGTTTTGATGGAACCGATAAGATCTCTTACTGGCTGATATGGGGACAGGAGCTCTGAGAGGTAAGCAGGGGCCAGTCCACTTAATGCCTTGAACACAGTCAACAGTTTTTTAAATCCTCAGCTTGACTGGTAGCCGAGTACCTGGTCATTAGTTTTCAGTTTTTATAAGTTATCAGTTTTACAACTTGTTTTATCTCTCATATTTTTGTGTGACTTTTATCTATTTGGCATTTAATAGTTTTATTTTTTGAATTGATTTCAAATCTATTTTGTTCAAATGTTTTGGCTTTATTAAGCTAATCAAATTGGTGTATCACTTTTGGCCCAAGTATCTATGAATTCATAACTCTCAGAGGACTTTACAACGCAAAAACTGTAGATAGTTCCATTGTAGACAAAGTAGTCTGTTTGACTCATTTAAAATCAGTCTGGACTATAATGGAAATACTTAAGTATCCTAAATGCTTTTTTATCACAATGTTCTGACAGAATCATGAATTCTTGTAAGAGGCTGTCGCTGCAGTGATTATTTAAAGCATAAATTCATCATGCTGCTGGCCAAACCACCTGCGGAGACACACAAACAAAGCCTGAATACATCACAGCTGAAAATCATTGCACCTGCAGAAGGTGACACAAGCCATAAAGATGATCCAAAACCAGATTGGGATCTGGTTCAGCTTTGAAGGCAGGCCTGAAATTGTAAATATAACCTTGTCACTATTATTTGTGAATTGGTTTGACGTATTTCGCTCTTCAACCTGTAAAATAAAATATGTCCCTTCTTTGCCTGTGGCCCCTTTTTTCTTGCTTGTCGTTTATTGACCTGATACCTCAAACACATGAACTGCCATACATTAGATTTCATACATTTAGCTGCCTAATGAGCTCCTGGGTCAATCCTGTAGGCAAAATTAAAAACTGCAGGTGAGTAACAGACACGGTCAGCTGGGTGAAGATAGGGTGAAGTTTATTCACTGTCTACGCATGTCGCGTCTGAGTCAGACCAAGGGGGGCAAGAAAGACCTGCAGGACATCCACGTAACTGTGAAGCAGGAGGAAGCGGGGAGGGGCGATCAGAGGGGCTTTATAAAGGCAAACTGAAACCGTCACTCAGGACGCACAAAGTGCAGAACAAAACACACTTTGATTTTCAAGTTCTTTTGTTGCTGTATGCGTCCAAATCGGAGAAGTTTTCATTGACAGTCTGCAGTCGCTGTTGTTTTGGACGATGGAAGCTCTTAAGTTCGTGGTTGTGTTGTTGGTGTTCGTGTTCGTGCAGGTTGTTGGCGTGCTGGGAACTTCGCTCTCAAAAGAAGAAGATGAGGCGTGGACAGCTGACAACTGGCAGGTAAAAATAACATCCACAGGTGTGTTTTAAGATTGATTTACTGACTCTATTTGATACATTTTAGTTGCAAATTGGACAAAACAACGATGTTTGTTGTAACGATTTAACATAGTTTAATGTCTTGAGAAAGAAATCTGACATTGCAGTTTCAATGATGCCTGTGGAGGTTTATTGAAGGTTTTCTGATAGTCCCCCAAATAAATACTTGCTTTCACCCACGTCGCCTATCTTTATTATCATGCTACTTTTCTACACCATCCCATGACTTCAGATTTGACCTTCAATGTGACTTAAATCTGAGGTTTATGATATTTAGGTTGTATCTCAGGCAAACACGAGTAGCTCATTTCTTGCTGCTCTCCAACAATGTTTCAATTTGCACTTAAAGCTGTCTGACACATTTAAGCACCGAGGACAGCGGCATCCCGCGTCTGGCTCACAGTTTATCAATTTGTTACATTCTCTCACGATTGCAGAGCAATTAGGGGAAAAGATCAACCAATAGGAAATCATTTAACACGGTGAGATACAAGAACTCCATCTGTTTATGTTAATTTCCTGATTCAGTGTTGATCATGATAACGATTTAAGCATGAAGAAAACCCTAATCCTTTTTTTAATATCTAAAAAAAAGTTGAGTAGTTGGTTGCCGATGGAATTTTTTTTTTTAAAAACGACCTTTGGTGAAAGTCTCATATAATTGTTCCTAATTGCCTACTTTATTCTCCAGACAGTGGTACAAAATGCAGAAAATTAAAGAAGCATTATTTTTTTGAAATGATTATTTTATAGGACGGGATTGAAGTCATTTTGGCATGCATAAAAAATAATACCACATCTTGATTTCATGTGTGATATCAAATTTGGGTGATCATAAATTGTAACACCTCTGGGAAAATACTGACTGTTGATAATCAAGCAGAGGTTGTGTGCAGCTTGTTAAAAAAAGAATACAGGGCACACAATATATTCAGACTACAAACTCTTATTGTTGTGTTGGCATGGTTATAAGTAGAAGAAACTCAGATGAGTGTGCCACATTTTTATCACATCGCTCTCATCTGGATGTTGACAACTGAAGAGAAAGTGAAGAGATATTTAAATGTGTTATTTCACATAAAATATGCAAAGGAATGGGAAAAGATGCTGGATATTTGAAAGTGAGGTTGAGAGGTTGGGATGGATGGCGGCTTGTAATGTCCTCACTCATTCTGAGAGAAAGTTTTGTCCCTTAGCAATGTACCCGATGATTTGAATTCATTTAAATGAGCGCCATCATTTCAAGTCCATCAGACAGCAGGGACTGTATGATTTACAGGAGAAATAAAAACTTCCCTTTGTCATATCGGCAATGAATCATGCTTTTTTTCTTGTGCGTGCACGGGTCTGTGTGTGTGTGTGTGTGTGTGTGTGTTTAGGGCTACCCTCTAGAGAGAGATTTAACTATGCATCTGGCAGAGCTCATCAAGCGGTCCAAAGCACAGCAGTTCCACGGCCTGATGGGTAGAAGCTCACGTAAATAAACAACTTCATCCTACTTTACTGTGAATTTATAATGATCATATTGTTTTGTATGGAGCTGTATTGAATGAAATCACGTTTTTTTCTTCCCTTGTATACAAGCATAATATTACTACAGACACCTATGGTTGCCCTATTTTGTTTTTTACGACCACCATATTAAACTTGTTCTATTCCCCCTTTATTTCAGGCCGATCTCAAGCTGTCAGACTGGGCAGGAAAAGTGAGTGTAATGACGCCACAAGAGAGCTATGAATGTTGAGGTTTTAGAATAATCTGGTAATGTTTCACCCTTAATAAAGATTTTTTTCCCCTTAATTTCTGTCTGTCTGTCTCTTTTGGTCAGGCAATAAAGGGGATATGTTTGTTGGACTTATGGGCAAAAGGAATATAGGTGAAGGTAATTTGAATTTCTGCAACCATATTTTAAAGTTTCTCATTTCCATGTAATGTTTTTTTTTTTTTTTGAATTTGGGAATATCAGATTCAGATCCTGCTCGAAATGCAAACTTTGTGTTAACCCCTGATTCTCATGTCTTGCTCTATTTCTTCCTCTTTTTTTTTAGATTCAGAAGAAGAATGGCAACCTGACATCTACTAAAGATCAAAAACTGAACGAAAGATAACTTCACAATTATAATCTCAGAATCAACTTTTATTTCATATTCTGTCCTTTCCTGTGTGTCAACAGGACACAGAGGTCTTCACAGTCTGAAAAGGACAGATGGAGTTGCACAGTTTCAGCTGCTTTAAGTCACTGGCCTTACTGCCAACTATCATTGTAGAGTTCTAACCATTATGTTTTTCGATAATGTTGAGTCTTATTTCAAACTTTGTACACATACACTCTTGTGTCTATTAAGGAAGCCTCCTACAGTTAAATCCACTCAAAGCTAATGACATTAGTTTAGCGTGTCTTCATTCTGTTTCACCACTGTTAACCATTAAATGGAATATTCATCTGGATGTATTAGCACGACAAATTGTTTACATTACTGCCTTTTAAGATCAGTGTTGACCACAAATGATTCTCTAATAACACCATGGTGATATTCTTATTGTATGTTGAAGCTTAAGTAATAAAACCATATTTTGTTCATGTGTTGTTCACACTGACTGTCTTGCTTTTGCTTGAAATCAAAATGATTGATTATATACCTGCATCATATCACTTAAAGCAGCACTGCAGTTATTACATATCTCATCACATAAAAACATATAGGGGTAGATAACATATTTAAAAAAGGGGAAAGTCACTACATAAGCAGTGGATATAGAGGTGGGCAGCATGGTGAAATGGTTGGTATCCACATCAGAGAGGGTCTTACTGGGTCCAACGTCATGCTCAGTCCAAAGACTTCCTTGTTAACTTCATTTGTGACTCTGAATTGCCCGAGGTGTCAGTGTGACTGGTTGTTTTGTCTCTGTATGTCAGCCCAGTGATTGACTGGCAACCAGTCAAGGATGTACCCCGCCCCTCGCCCAATGACAGCTGGAGATGCAGAGATACCCTCACTAATCTTCCAGTTGTGAGTAGTACTCCAAAAAATATCAATTTCTCCCTCATCCCTTTCATCCTGTTTATACCCATGAAAACAAAATAATCAAATTTTAGGGTTCTTAATGCGGTCTTCATGTTGAAAATGAGTCACCTTCAAATACAAGCTGAGATGGCCCAAATGACATCACTATGACGTCTTCAGGGTTAAATTTGCAGACTTACATAAACTAAAACAGAACATGTGTGAACTTACTTTAATTATTTTATATTTATGTATTTCATGTGAATTGAAAGCCTTGTCTTAAAGAGAGAGAAGGCAGGACTACATCTCCCAAATCGTCCAAACGTTTCTTCTTCAAACATCAAGACTCTTGCACTGTTTCCATGGGAAACATCAAACACACAAATGACACGTGAGAGAAAGCTTACCATGTTTCACCGTTTGCATTTAATGAATAGGGAGGAAGGGGTAGAAGCAAGTACAAGAGCACAACTGAGCTACATATTGATGCCACGCTACTTTTGTGTTGTTGCTTTGAGTGCAGGAAGCAGGGTGTGGTGCAGTGCTGCAGTACTACAACAGCTCACTGGTGGCCAATGGAAGGCGATGGGATGTGTCTTGTGTTTTCTCTAATAATCTGGCACTACTCGTGTTAATGACAAGCGAGGCGTTCTGAAGCTGCCAATCTATAGCTGCCACTGGCATTGATGAAAAAATGCAAGACAATAAGAGAAATAAATAAAAGTAAAAGGGACTTTCAGACAATTGAAGATGATTGATTTTGGGTGTTTTACACATTCAGGGCTGTTTTAGACAACGCGTTGTAATTTATTGTTTTAATTTGTTTTCCCTAGTACCATTAAATGTTACAACCAGGTCACTTTTCTGCTGCTCTAAGAACGCAACATATTCTCTCCTTTTCCCTGTATGTTAATATCAGGACAAAATGACATATTTTAGTTTAAATACTAAATAATTCACCCCTTTACTATCATGCCTATGCAGTTTATATCTCAATAAAACTCAAATAAAAGTAACTCAGCCATGAATGGAAAATCATCATCATATGATGTCCTTTCCAAGACTGGATTTTTCTTTTGAAAGTTGTGTATAAAAGTAAGTGCACCTATCTGTTAATGCACTTCAGAATGTTTTAAAGAAAAACAAATCACTGTCTACACTCACAAGAGTGGTGAGTGATTTCTACCAGTCACACATTTCACACAGGTCAAGTGTGAACAGGTGCTAAAAGGGAAGGTGCAGCTCCTGTTTGTATTGATTTGGAAACTACTGGGAGGAGAGGTGTCTCCTGATCCCCTCACGTTAAAAGACACAAAACATGAACCAAAGGGATTAGAAAAAAATATAAAAATATAAAACACAGATAAATAAATCAACAGATGACAAAAAGAAATCATGAAAAGATAGAATACAAGACACAATGAGAAACCTCCTCAACATTACAGAATCTAAAAGCAACATTTCTTTTACTGTCAAAGACAAACAAACATAACTCAAGGCAGCCGAGGAAAAGATCCCTTCACATATTAAAGTGTGACACAAAAACCTTGAAAATAATAAAAGGGCTGCGAAATAAAAAGGAAACAGCTGATTCAATATGACATTGTTGTTTGCACCTTCAATTTCACAGCCAGTTGCTGTCTTGTTTCTTGCACATTGGTTGGAATAGTTTGACAGTTTCAGGAAATAAACTTATCTGCTACAGTTTATAGATTTGCTTATCACAGCATACTAGAAACAGTGGAAAACAGCTAACCTGGCCGTGTCATAAAGGTAACAAAATACACCTACCAGAACAAATGAAAGTCACTGATTAACATGCGTGTCTTATGTTAAACATAAGGGAATTGTTTTTACAGGTAGAGATATCCTGGGGCCAGACTAGATGTTTTTTTGTAGTTTTGTGCTATGCTAACCAAATACTAACTTAGTTTTTAGCTTGCATATCTAAAGGGGGATGTCCTCTAACTCTTAACAAAAGGAGAATTTGCATATTTATACAAAATGTTAATGTTTCTTCTGAAAAATCTCAAAGCTGGTTACAAAAACATAAATTGATCAAAATCTGTAAATATGTAGATTGTCAATAAACTCAAATCAGTTCTCAATCACGCACAGTGGGCTGTGTAGAATATGAACTGTACAAAAATGCTGCCAACCACCCTCCCACAAAAAGCTTGTGCATTATTTCCCATCATTTCTGTTTCAACAAGGAGTGACAATGTGCCAGAGAGACACGTTTTAACTGCTTCATGTCACCTTTGATTAAAGGAGACATACCTCAGAAATGTTAATGACTTCTGTCTTTGTCCTTGTTTGATGGGTGGCTTTGATTCTCCCTCTTGAACCTTCCAAGAGCTTCTAGACACATTCAGATCTACATAAACATTTGCGATAAATATTTGTACATATAGAATAGACATTCCTCTATCTTACTTTGTCTTTTATGTTCTACACACTTAAATGTTTGCCTTTTAAAATAAACAGCATATATATATATATGAAAATGTAATAAAAAAACACTCACACATCTACAAATACTCACATGTTAACAGATAATTTTAAAAGGAAGCTTAAAATGGGCCATATGAGCTTGAAAACAGTGGTAAACCTTAGAGGTAGAAAAAGTTGAAACCTTTTTTTTTGAGAACTTTTACAAAACCACTAAAAAGGAAACGGAAAAAACGACAACGTTTAAAAGCGGCAACACTCCAAATAGCTTAGACTCACCGTAAACCTTTTTCTCTTCAGAGTATAAACGTGGATGTTAAAGAAACAACAAAGCCCCCTCACACAGTTAAAAGGTTCAAATGAAAGGGAGGGAGTGACGTGTTGACAAAACACATCATGGAAGATCATGTACTGGTGACACAAAAGTGTCTGAACGTAGCCAATGGCAGCTATAGCTTCATGACTAATGACCTGACAGGTGTGATGGGTTTTATACAGGAAACAATGAATAAGTTGGTTGCATGAAACGTGTTACTCTGTGTTCAAACAGCCACTGTCACTGTCAGAAAACTTACATAAGAAGATCGGTTAAATTAAATTAACGGTATAAACGACTGTAGGCAGACTTCCCTTGGTAGCTGAAGCTCTTTTTTTTTTTTTTTCAAATTCTTCAAAGTTTTTCTGAGCAAGCTAGTCTGTGTCAGGCAGAAAGAAACGCATAAGATGACATGTTAAAAATCTGTATGTGTCAACAGCCTCACAAACTAAGAACTGTTGCTCTGTGCTAATTAGAAGGCTTGGACAAAGAGCGTAACTTTTCGGGAAATCAAACTACAACACCGGCTGCTAGCCTTTCACTGAAACTCTAAAATCCAACATAAATAATGAACAGTGACTTCTCTTCTATGGAACCTAAAGTCTTGAATTAAAAAATGTTGAATCAATAATCGCATTACATTCTGAACACCTCAAAATTAACTTGTCATTACTGAAAGCAGCAAAATGGAAATGGAATAATGCCACATTTCATTTATGTAAAGCTGTAGCCTCTAGTTGATTAACCTTGAACAAGTGAGCGTCTCTGCTCCAGCTAGCCACAGCTAACCAGCTGCTCTCTCAGCCATTGAGCTCGCTAGCTGAAGAGGCAGCTGGAATGTGATTGGCTAATACATGAGCGGTTGGTGACAACGCTGCCGCCAGGACAGGTCACACTATGAAATAAAAGTGAAACAGGAGAAGATTGTTTGAAGAAAAAGCGCGTTTTGAAATAGGTTTATCTTTTATGAAAAAATTATCAGTGTTCCTTGTATTAGAACATTTATTCATGTGATTATTATTCCAAAACATTTGATTTTAAAGTCATTAGCTTCTCATTCAAGAGAAGTGACTCATTTATTTAAGGTCTAATTTGTTCTTTTAGAAGGTTAAATTATTTTTTATAAAGCTATCTCTAACAGGTTCAGATTCTAGCAAATTGTTGCCTCGATTCCGTCTTAGTTTCTGGTGGAGAATCTTATCATCGAGCTAATGTTGGGTTTGTTGGATTGACGTTCATCCAACAACCTCAGCGTTGTGTGACTGCTGAATCCAGAGTAACGTGTGTCTGTAAGTGACTGACGGCTGTAGCCGCTGAAAGCGTTTTGTACAGGAGTTCGAGTGAGGGTTTAGGCTCAGTCACTGTGAGCGTACCAGTGTGCAGAGGGGGATCAGTGTGTGCATTTGAAATTTTGAAATTGTTAGTGTGAACGTTCCTTTACGACCCTTTGGGCGGTGTCCATTTTAAGGCTGTGGGGTCGATGGTCTTTCCGTTACCACGTTTGGTCTCCTTTGCCTTCCAGTCGTCAATAAGGTCCTGCGGAAACAAAATGCACTCATGTTGACTACAGCAGAGAAATGTATACAATAAAGCCTAAATGTGCTGGTCGAGAGTAAATAGAGTTTAAACTTAAGTCAAGCAAGTCCAACCGTTCAAAGTATAGTGCTGTTTCCTACCTGTCTCTTTAAAACAAGGTGCTTTCCCTTCCAGTATTTGAGCATCTGAAGAGATTGCAGAGTGCTGACGATATCCACGGGGTTCACGGCGGTCTCCTGACTGATCTCTGTGAAGACAACAGCGGGACAAGATGAAGTCAGAGGTATGGGATCAGGACTGTGTGAGTGAGAAGACTGAAGAGCTCCAGGCATGCCATCAGCTCTGCAAGGCTGCCTGCTAACAAGCTAACAATGACAGAGTTAATATCCTGATGATAGTTCATAAGGCTCATGTTTTACTGTGTTTTGGCTGCTACGATATGCTTGTTAGCACTAAAACATGATAGTTCAACATTTCTGAAATTAATATTATCATTATTTTAAGAAGTCCAACTATAAATTCAAGATTTACAAGTGCCACCCTACATCTTAGACATGCTGATGTTCAGAAGGTACCATGTCTATAATACCAACCATCTTGGTTTGTGTATTAGCATTTGCTAGATGGCAAATCACAAATAAAATAATCTCAGCACAGGGTTCACTAGATGTTGCGATGTTTCCCTTCTGTCCAAGAAAGTGAACAATGGACATTTCATTCTTATAACCCAGCTAATGTGCTAAAAAATTGATTCATCAATGCATTGCAATTTTTGTTTTCCCAATTCAAGGAAATCCTGAGAACGATTTTTTCGCTGTAATGACATCCCTCTCCACTGGGGGCACTGTGGGTGCTGTATGTGCACTTAGATCATACTGTACTTAAATGTTTTATTCTTTGTTTATTAAAGAATAATACAATGATAAAATACATGTTTTAGTCAGTTTGTTCTAAACCTATACAAACAATGCACACATAATTATTTAACAAATATCAGAAGGTACTGTGACGAGTTATCTGGGTATTCCTGTTATCTGTATGTATTATTAAATCGATAGACGCATATTGATCAATATCGATTCGACTCGTGACCCAAAGAATTAAATCGAATTGAATAGTGAGGTTGTGGACAATACCCAGCTCTAGTTGTTTATAAAACTAGCATGAGGAGATCATTTTAAGAAGCATTGGACTCTTATAAGGTCATGGAAGTGGAAGTTACATATTCACATTGAGAAAAAAGAAGTGTTTATTTCCCTCCTTCTGTTTAACAGATGGTTCATTGTTGTGGTATTTTCTTTTTCTATGCAGAAAATATTAACAACACAAAGGCTTTGATTAAAGCGCCTTTGTGCAATGTGTGCATATCTCTGCAGCGTGAACCTTGTCAACACTTAAAAACACTTTTCAGAATGCAGACTGGGGTTATTAGGTTCTTTTGTAATGACATCCTCCTCAATTCAAAACAACATACATCACCTTTGACAAAATAAACAAACACAATAAGAAAAAAAAAAGGTGGAGAAAAAGAGGCCTGGACTAGAAGAACACAATGTTACAACCAAATGATTAGCTGTGTCTCACACTGTCATGGTTACGGCGGCCCTTAGAGATTTTTGGTAACTCTAAATTCAGTGTTGCAAAAATGTATTTTTTTTTTTTTTTTTTTAATAATTTAAACTTAGATTATTCCTTCTATGATATGTAAAATGAGTGTGAATTCCAGAGATTACTAACATGTGCTTGAAAGCTTGAAGTGAATGTCTGAGAGTTTTCACTATGTTGTGTGCCTGTTGCTTAATCCGTTTGTTCTTAAATATCTAACGGGTAGGAGGAATTGTAAACTGTGAGAACTGAGGACATATACAGTCAAGATGTGAACAATTCAGTCTTTGTCATGACAAATATTAAATCACATCCCCATCCCTGAAGAAATAAGTCTTTAATTAATACTAGCACCTCGGATAAATTGTGGTTTTATCTGTATTTAACATGCAAATTTATGAGATCTGTTTTGGATTTTGTTTATCCAAAAACCGTTGTCATCAATGCCCCATTAAAAACAATTGAAACAACTGGCTTTAAATTCCACGAGTCGCAAAGAAATACATTTAACATGTAAGTTATACATCAAGGATAGAGACAACAGGCTTTAGTTGGAAATACTAAATGTTAACGAAACTTTGTAGCGCAAAAGGGAACTTCACAAGTTTTTTTTTTTTCCTCAGTCAGAGGCATCTGAACGTAGAGGACATTTAACAGGTATGGTAGAATAAGCTCTGATGTCACCCACTAGTGTATAACAGAGACTTTGACGTCAATTATTTGGATAAATAGTGTCCATACAAACATTGGAGCATTATCAACGAACTAATTTGGTACAAACTGACTAGTAGTATTTCAACTCCAATAAGATGGAGTTCCATGCAGTCTTAGCATGCTCGCATGCTTCACCAAGATTAGAGCATCCTCATTATTATTGGCAGCATGGTAGCATACTGACAGGAGGATTTCACACTAAGCCCAACTGAGCTGCTAGTGTGGCTGTAAACTCTCAGTGTTGCTTTTTTCACAGCCTTTAGTGATAACACATGAATGCTTGCTTTTACATACACACACAAACACACTCACACTCTCACAAACGCATACCCATTGTATGAGTTCTTGTTGGCTTTCAGATTCTTTCCTCGCTTTTTATTTAACAGTTTTTCCCACCAATGATTTACAATACCAACAGTGTTTCTTGATTTGCGCCACTGCAAACTGTGAGTGTGATCCAACTCTCACCTTTGATGGAGATCTCCTTGCCCTGAAAGTTGTTCAGGTAACGCAGAAGCACCTCCTTCCAGTAACTCCTGTAGCTGATGAGACCGAGGTCAGACAGAGGGCGCTCAGGTGAACCCACCTTCTCCTCCACCTTAGACAGCAGGTAACCTTTAAGAGACACATCACATAGGGCTCTTTGTATGAATACTGTAGTATCCCCTTCTGTCACTGAGAACACAGAAATAAGGGCAGAGAATGATATCATACAAAACCTACTGAATCCAGGTTTGTGAGGTTTTTTTTTAATTTACTTTTTAATTTAAAAAAAGCTACAAATCTTTTCCGCCGCACATCACCTTCACTACTTAACAGACTTCCTTGATCCACTTTATGTTTGACGGTCTTTGTCCATATGGCTTTTCCAAGATATTTCCTTAGTTTAAAAAAAAACCAAAAAAAAAACCTTTATTCCCTACAACATCTGAACAGAACCGGGGAGTTTACTCCTTGTGATCGTCCAGGCATCAAGCAAAGAGAAAAGAAACAAACATGGAGAGGACAAGTCTTCACAATAAAACCAGGTTTCACTCTGCAGAATCTCTTGCCGCGTGCTGGATTTCTTACAGAAACGCTCTCCCACACACAATGCAGGGAACACACAAACAGGGTGTCTGTACTCACTGAAGTCTATGAGCATCTTGCCGTAGCCTTGCCTCATGTACTGCGGCATGGTGAGGATGCAGGACACGTTGTAGTTCAGGAAAGAGTTCTTCTCCTGCAGAAGAAGAACGATGAATCCATAAAGCCGATCTGATCTTCCAGATGGAGTTACTTTGTAGTTCATACCTCATACCTTCCTTGGGTAAACTGATAAGATTCATAGTAGCTCACACAGAATTAATTATTACGTCATATCCCAGGGGCATATGCAGTAATCAAATTCTATACAGTTAATATAAGCTACTCAGTGTCTTTTTTTTTTTTTTTACAACTCACTCTCAAACCAACATGACACGTCTTCACATAATCGGTAGCAATATTGCATCCTTTACATAACACACCCCTAACCCTGGACAGTCAACAAGAGAAAAAATACATTTACTGGCCCCCAACCCGCAGAGTTTAAGTACCGTAAAATCTGGAATATAATTTGCACGGATATATAAGACGCAGTGTGATTTGATGGTCTCCCAGAGAGAAAAAGGGTTTGAACTTCCTGTGTGACGATTTCTATTGTGTTCAGCAAAGTCTACAGCGTGCAGTTTCTCTACAGCTATGTCACTCTTTTAGTACCATCTCTTTTCACTTTGTGGACTTTACACTCCTACTAGTTTCAATACGGTAGTTGGCTACGGTGATAGCTCGAGTCATACTGCCCACCTCCGCTGGTCACTCGTTGATTCCAATTTAGGAGTCATTAAATCAAACCAGCATCTGACAAGCTTTCTTTAATGACAGTTTACCACCGTTTTACTATAAATGAACCATTATGACCTCATGACGGAGCAAAGATGGTAAAAAGTGGCGCTGCCAGCCTCGTCAGCATCGCTATGTTTCCCAACACAGCTTGCAATACACAATGACAAGGAGTGAAATTGTATTTTTTGAACATTTAAAAATTGCATCATGATGCATGCAGTGTGTGATGGTAAGTACTGCACATACAGTAATGACAGTGCATGCCGCCGTATGTTTCCCTGGTAAATTGGTTGTATCGGTATAAAAGGACGCAGCAAACTTTCTTGATGAAAAAAATAGGCATCAAAAGTGCGTCTTAAACACCAGACTTTACGGTACACCATGAATAAAGGTGCTATCCTTACCAATGAGCTTATGCCAAGTATGTGTTAGTCGGACAATACATTGAAGAATACATTTTTCAAAGAAAGCCATCTGTAAAAAATACTCTCTATCCCCTTACACAAACTTAATATTTTCTTGTACAGTATAATCTGGATTGTTTTTTTTCTTTAAAAGGCATCCAGCTGTCATTGGCTCCCAGTTTACCTTGGAGAAGTATCCCACCAGGTGGCACCCTGTGTTGTCTGCTTCAGTCATGACATAGAAGAGGAAAGGCTCGACGTCGTAATACAGAGTCTTGTGGTCCAAAAACAGTTTTGCTAGCAGACACAAGTTCTGACAGTAGATCTATAGGAAAGAGCATCAGCGACGTTATCATCCATCACAATTGACAGGAAACACACATTTAACCAGTCCCACACAGACAGACCTCCATCTCTTTAGGTCTGTGGGGTCTTACATTAAAGCAGAAGATTTATCGAGAAATGTCAAAGATACCGACCATGTTTCAAGCCAAAGAGGTAACACTAGAGAAAACCAATCAGAAGTGTTATTTTTTACATTCACAAACAATCAAATACAGCACACTTTAAGGAAGTATGAACATTTTCTCCAGGACTTATTTTAGGTCTTAAAGGGCCTTGTTCTCCACAAGGGGAGGAATACTCGTTTGATTTTAATATGATCAAATAAAGAATCTCCTGCAAGAGGCCCGGTGATTCTGAGGTAAATGTCCCAGTGCTCCTCTTACCTTATTCTTCTTTCCGTCCACCTCAAACACGGAGATGTTGGTCTTCCTGTAGATCTCGTCCCCCGGTGGATGCTTCCACACGCACTTTGCCTTAATGCGATACAAGTAAGAAGGAGTAAGTTTGTATGCAGCTCTTAGTTTCATATGGTGTTCATTGAACCAAGAAAAAAAACCTTATTAAAGTTGAAGTGACATCTCAACTTTGAGTGTGGGATTAAAAGGGGATAAATGACTGAACAATAGCCATAGAGAATTATGTGTAAGATCTGTGCTCATATAAACTATGCTATATGTTTATTTTAATACATTTTATCCTTTCAACTATTTTTGGGTGTGTCTTGGGATCTTTTTTATATTATAACTCCAAACCATTTAAGGGTTTAGGCGTCTCTTATTGCTTCTCTCACTCCAGTATAATATTGGTGTGAAGTGCATCAGAAGGGCAAAGTTATACAGTCTATCTAAGTAGAGTCTGCATGAAGTAGGAATACAATTATGAATAGCCTTAGGAGCAGAGACAGTGAATTTATAGTTTGAACTACGGCAAGAGCCTAGACTCATTTTATGCCATTTTCCCTTTGACACTTCAATGTCGCTGACTAGAAACTTCAATCAATTTTGGTTATCAATCAGAGACATATCAGCTAAAGTAACCCCCCCTCCCCCTCCCCAAACATGCAAAGAAGTTTAAAGTCTTTTCTGGTGTTTTATTTTCCTCTCAGTCCAATGCTCCACATAGATGGTACAATGTTTCATCCACTTAAGTATATTAAAAGTTTTTCTGAATTACGAAAAATTGACCTATTCAAGGAATTGAATATCAAGGCTACAGGCAAGACTGAATTCTACAGGCCAAGTGAAAGTGAGATAAAAATAAATCTGCAAATATTAGAAACTTAACTGAAAAAAGATTAAAGGGTTAGAAAAAGAAAAGTTAAAAGCTGTTAAAGACCAACATTATTTTTGTTTAAATCCAGCGCTCTCAACCTTAACAAAACTATGTTTAGACTGACAATATAAAAGAGAGACTTTAAGGGTCCAGTACTTTATCAACCCCATTCTGTTCATCTGAAGTTAACCTGAAGAATACAGACACATTCAAATCAAACAGGACTGTGTGTGTTTGTCTTCATGAAAAACAACACAATTAACCACACTTGATTTAAGTGTGTAAACTGGACATTTTTAAATAATACATGAATTAATTTGAAAAATTATCCATGTTTGGGGCACCAGTTTAGCTCAGTCGGTAAATCAGGTGCTTCACATAGGGAGGCTACAGAGCCCACTGTCCTTTGATGCATGTATATCCCGTTCTCATTAGCTGTCCTATCAACAAAGGCAAATGTGCCAAAAACTATCTTTAATCAAAACATTAGCCATGTAGAGCACATCCTCACTTAATGTGTGAGGGCTCAGGTCTGTCCTTCTGTCAAATTCTCAAGTGCAAATGAGCACTGATGCCGATTTGTATCCATTCTGTGAGTACCCTTATCTGCAGACGCTCATGTGTGAGAGCAAGATAGTGGGATACATATTAACTGGCTAATGGATGTTGTGGCTGCTGTTATTTATTGCCTGTTTGTAGAGTTGTTTTATGTCCACTGATGATCTTCAAACCCTGATATATCTTCAAATGTTCGATATTTTGTTAAAATGTAACGTAAAATGGTAATGTCTTACTTTGATTTTATTTTTAAATGGCAATGCTCTACGTCTAGTGGTGTGTCCTATTCCATCTCTTTAAACCAATTCAAGGATTGAAATGTTAAGATTGATCTCAAACATTAACGTTTTTTTAATGAAAATATTTTATGACATTTTTTGCCTACAAAATCAAAAAGTGGTGTTACCAGGTGCCTGCGCAGAATGGTCTGGCTCTTCATATACTTAAGGCAGAACTCGCACATGTACAGCCTCCCCAGGCGAGCGTATTCCTCTGGGTATGGAGAGTGATACCAGGTGTCCAGCTCGTAGCGACCAAACACAATTGTCTTTATCATGTTGCTGCCCTCCGACACCTGGCCATCGAGACGAAGCTTATCCTGTACAGGTAAAGGAGAGGAGGTAAGGGAGATGGGGAAGGGGAGGGAAAAGGTTTCAACAAGGAAAGAAAGAAAGGGAAGGAAAGCAAGCAGAGGGGATAGAGGAGAAGAAAGAAAAATTGCCATTATTAAAAGAAAAGGATCAGGTAAACCAAAGAGCACACTCAGAAAATCCTCAGTGGAGGCAACCATGCACAACAGATTTGAAATATATAACAATTAAAAAAAGTAGATAAAAAATGGGAAGAAGAATATTAATAATTAATATTTAGAAGATCTAATATGAAGGTGATAATGTTTCTGTTCATATGTTTTTGAGACCGTTTCAGTGGCAAAAATAAAGTATTTGCATGAAAAATAGTAATTTTTCTCTACTATAGTAATCTTCGAACCTGGATTTAAATCTTTGTCTAAGGTCTTGAATAAGGGACAAGTAAATCTGAGATAATCAGCAAACTTTTGCATTGAAAAGATTATTGTAAGAAAGTGTTGAGAACTCGATCGGGTATCTTTGCTTTTATTTTACTTATTAAAACTCAGAAAACCCTGTAAATAAGTTTTGATTGTAAGCCTGAAAGAAATCAGCGGTGTCTCATCTGAATGGAAATCTGAATCACAAAATAACAGATCAGGAAGAAAGAACAAACACAAAAAACAGGAAGTGATTCTCCAAACTACCAAAAATATCTCTGACTCCTCCTGTGGTTGCAGAGGAGGGTTTGCAGACTGAAACAGAGAAGAAGAGGAATAATGCAGGAAAAAAGGGGGAGACAAAAAAACAAAGGGAAGAGAACACGGTAAGGGAGGGAGGTGAAGATGAGTTTTCTCTCTTACAAGGTCGTCCGAGGCACGTGCCTGCGCTTTCCTGAACAGCTCGAGGTCGTAGTCACTGGTGATGTTCTCTAGTAGCGGCTCCCTGCTAGCTCCGTGGCTCTGATTGTGCTCCTAGAGGTGTGGGAGAGGATCAAAAAAGGAAGACAGATGTTGGACATATGCACAGTAAGATTGGAAGAAAAAATGCACAGATTTTTGCTTCAAACCCACTTACCATGTACTTTTCCTTCTGCTCCTTATTAAGACCAGAGTTCCTCTTCCTCCTCAGCTCCGTCACCTTCTCCTTGTAGCGCAGCTGACGGTCTGTGGGGGCCTGAGACCAGACAGAGATGACTTTACACTTTTGAAAACTTTGTTTTGGCAAGTGGTGTTGGAGTAAAAACTGAAAAAATGTCTTAAACTTAAATGTCTGATTATAATAATAAGATTAATATCAATCAATCATTATTTGTATAGCGCCAATTCATAACAAGTGTTATCTCAAGACACTTTACAAAAGAGCATATGGGAATTTAAAATCATTCGGTGTAAACATCAGCACTGGTGTTCCACATGGATATATACTTGGACCATTTCATGTTTTAATATGATGTGGTTAATGGGTGAAAATAAAACATCAGTCCCCACTCATTCTTTTTTAATACTCAGCTTTTGCCATCAAAGATACAATGTAGATTTTCACAAGCTGCGATTGTCCATTGTTCCAAGTCTGCTAAACTATTACATCAGAATATAGTTCAAAGCAGGCCTAAGACTTGCTTTTCAAACATCAGGACCAAACAATGGATACAAAAAATTGAGTTATAAATTAGACGTACTCTTTTAAATCATGATTCATTGCAGATATGATGAAGGAAGGTTTTTATTTCTCCTGTATTGATTAGTAAAATTGAGGAAGGGCCCCCCTTTAATTGGATTCACTCACTCAGTTGTTTTAGGTGTCTAGGCATGTTTCATAATGTGAAAGTGCCTGTCTGCTGCATTTGATTGTATACAGTATATATATATATATAGGTGTGTGTGAGCTTTTGTATTACCTGGCTTCTTGTGGAGTGTCTGTTCTCGTCCTGGCGGTGCGACAGCGTCCTTTCGTCGGCCTGTTTGTCGCGCGTCGATGCCTTGCCCTAACAAAACATCAACACTGTCTACCACCAAATGACTCACAACCAACCCCCGCAGCAGCAACATTTCAGCAACCACCTCCATGTTCATAGAGGTTTCGCTGCTTGACAACTTGAATTCTACACTGTGAGTATCCTTTGGTATCAGCCACTGAACACAGTGTGGAATCTGTGTTTGCCAAAGAGCAAAACTATGAAAGCTCAAACGGTTTTAATTAAGCAAAATATCAGAAAAAAACTAAGAAAAGAAAAACTGAGAAATTGTGAGACACTTTAGAACATTTCATAGTCAGGGTTTGTATTGGATATTTCTTTGTTTTAAAACTGCATTCCTTTCTTGACTTTAAACTTTCATGTGTGTGTGTGTACAGTACCTTGCATTCATCAGCAGAGAGATTATGATAGAGAGGACATCCTGATATGGAGAAATGTCTCTCATGCCTCCCTGTAAGATGACCTGATGCAAATTATAACAAAGACAATTCAGGTTGGTGTCTAGTAGGAGGATATATGATGCAATAACAAATTCTGCAGTGTTTTTGCCCTCACCTAATGAGTTGCAACCAGGCGTGGGACACTTCATATTAAAGTTGTAGCTTTCATGGAACCGCCGTCTTTTGGGGCGATGGGAAAGATCGTGGGCGGCAGCCTCTTTGAGTGACAGCTCTTTAGCTAATCTCTCGTCCTCCTCTTGTGAAACTACAATATCATTGCTTGAGGACACGTGATCATTGCTGGGACTTGAGACCTCGATATCTGACTCTGAAGATGGCGCATTACCGGTTGGGGTGCGAGGAGGGGTCTCGTCACGATCCGCCCCCCGCTTCTGGTCTGCTGAACAAATCATGACAAAAGGACAGGGAGCAGATAGAACTACAAGAATTAATTAAAAAAAAATAGTTACATAAACACGACATACCATACAAAAGTTTGTTGTGGAAGACAAAGGTGATGTACTAAATATAAAAACTGTGGGTTAGATAATAGGCAGTACAGCTATAGAAGCACTACCGACATTACAAAGTATCAGTTCATAGACCAGTGTCTATCTATGATTTAATAGTATATCCCTAAATTCAATGTTGTGAAAATATTCTACAACTTTTTCTGCAATAAAAGGATCCAAACTGACACACATTATTCTTAAGCAAAATCAGTGAAGGATGCAAAAGATGCATTTACCACCCTCCAGCAACAGCTGCTAGGGGAGAAATCTAATAGGAAAGATTGGTGTTACTGCAGCAGATGATCGCTTTTTTAGCTTAGAGCTGACAAGTGAAACAGTGGACGTCAGCAGGGCAAATCCTTTCTTTTGTTTTCCAGTGACACTGGACGTCCGGCAAACTTTTTATTGACGTCAATGCTAGACAAAAACATCCCTCATAATACCATTTATATTTTTAACAAAACTTTTCTGAAAAACCCTGTAGGTATACAAGCAAACAGAGGACCAAGAGATAATAATGATAAACTGAGTTATTTAGGTACTACATTGTGAATGTTAAAAATAAAATCTGTGAGGTATTGCATGGTATTGAATTGTTCTTTGTTAATTATTTGTAATATTGAGCAGATTTTCCAGACAAATGCTAACCCTCTGTAGCAGAAACATATTTGAAGGAAGAACCACATGGGGATATCAATAATAAAAACCCCTAAATTCATCAAAACATAACACAGCAGAGTCACACTCAACACATGTGTAGCTGACATCTCTCTTATTATTGTTTCAGGGAACTACAATGTTCAATGTTTAGGTAATAACTTGTAAAATTAGTCTAACAGAAAAACAGACTGTGTTTGCTTTGATTGAACAGATTATCGCCAATATCTTAAATTGTATGTCAAAAATGATCCTATCTCTGTAAGGAGGTCCAGTCCAGGATATGCACTGACACCAATTTGACTTCTGCATAATCAGGAACACGCTGTGATCACAGGCAGATCTCATGAGATCATCTGAGCAGCATATCAATGAATATATGAAACATGCAGATAGATGCCCTGTCTTCCCCCTGTCCTCTCTGCAGATTCTCCTTTAGTCAGCCATTCTTTTCTCGACCCCCTTCAGCCTTCTCTTGTCTACTTATCAGTCTGTTTATTTACTCTTTTTCTTTCATCATTCATCACCTGATTTAACTACTCTCTTCAGTTTTCTTCCTCCCTCTATTTTCATCTTCTTCCTCTGTTCTTTCTTCTGTGCCTCTGCTTTTTCCATTTTATAATAGATTCATCTACTTCATCTGACAGCCAAGAGGGTGTGCTTAAAGGTGCCTAAAGTACTGCATAAGTGTAATTTCTAAGACCTACAGAGACACTATTGCTCTTACCATGTGCCTCAGTATCCGAGCCAGATGACCTGCTCTGTCGCAGCGGGTATTTTTTGGATGTGGTGTTTATCGCCCCTTGCTGGCTGCGTGTGATTCTGCGTCCAGAGGAGAAGACGGATGCTGCCACTGCTGCTGTTTTCGATTCTGCTGCTAGATCCAAGCTTTCTTCTGGACCCCCCGCTGGAGGAGAATTGCTCCGTAATGAGCTGCAGTTATCTAAAAAAGAAGAGCTTACTCAATGAGGTCCAATACGGTTTTAAGTATAAAACATACAGACTAATTGTTTAAATATCCTGACAATATTAACCAGTTAGACCACCTTAAACACTTGTAATTTTATAAAGATTCTCACACTTAGAGATATATTTACTTTAATTATGACTACTATCCATTGCTTGTAATTTAATATTTTGAATTAAATTACAAATGTATTAATTTTTTGGGGGGAATATTTCTTGTTTTACTTAACTGCAATTAAATACCTTTGACCTGCTGATAGTGTGACCTGACTACTCCCAGTGCTGAACTGAAAAACTGGTCAGTAGATTGCTTTCTGATTAACAGAAAAAAAACATAGTTTTAAACATTTTCTTGTACAAAACCGCACTAAAAATCTTCCAGTTTTAGATGATGAGTGATTAAATCAGACAACAATCAGTTGGTAAAATGATATTGAACGTCATAGTATGCTGCTTCCTTCTCTGCGTCTGTCTTCTAAGAATACTAGCAGAGAGTTTCAGTTTACAACCACAGAACAGACATATGAAAAGTAACTGCAGCTGTTACTGAATAACTGAAGGAAACATGGTAAAAAGATAGATATTTACTTGTTGTGAGCAACCGCAATGGTTTTTTTTCCAAGAGAAAAATCCTGCGACAGAAAAATAAGACTGAACCTCTGACTTCACTCTTTTGGCTAAAACTATAGCCTCTGTGCAGTTTGAAAGCTTGTTCATGGACTACGAGAGCTTTGCCAACTTCTCTTGCCAACAAAAAGCAGAGGAAACAGAGCCATCCCTTCTTTCTCTGCTGTAAATCCCCTCTGGCAGCCACAACAGAAAGAGGTCACACAGGGGGTGGAATAGAGTTTGTACGTCTGTTGTGGGGGAAGGTCTCGCTGTCTGAACCCATTCAGGCTTTAAGGCTGCCAATATACAAGAGCCACTGCTGAACTGCTGAAGTGTGGGGGGCTGGTATACTCAATAAACCTTCAATAAGATCGTCCTCCTCATTCAAATGAAAACACAAATGTTCATGTACATGAAAAACAAATTTGTATAGGTGAAGAAGTAGGCCTACATACCACTGAAATAAAAAGAAAAAGAAAGAAATGGACGAAAATTGGTGCTTCCTAATTTGCAAACTTCTGCAAAATTCAGCTGTCACTTTGAGACTTTGTCATTGATATTAACTTCATTCAAAATCAGATGTTAACCAGATATTATAAATACATAAAGCAACAAATAAGAAAATATTTAAAAAAAACAACAATGCCATAAGTTATAATTTATCTTTCATTATACCTCTGCCCCAATGAGGCTCTTCCAAGAATATCTTAACTACTAAAAATAAGCACACGTGACAAAAATATGGTGACTCGAGCCATGACGTCAACACATTTAAGAATTGAACTACAAGGAATGTTTTGACATAATATAATTAGCATGTAGGCTACTGATGCTATCCTATGATGTCATTTGGTCCTATCAAAGCTACAAGGATTGTATGTTTTTTTTATTTCACAATTTACGTCAAACGTTTATGTTCTTGCCTATGCGACATCCTTCAGTTGCGTACGTTTTTTGTCTTTCCGATAGTTCATTATTTAAAATAAAACTTTAAATGGTTACCTTGTGAGCTTCGGCTGAGGCGCAGTGACGCACGGGTCAGGCGCGTGCTGCTGCGCCTGTGGACACTCTCAGACGCTCGTGTGTGCTCGAGATCGGCGGAAAAATCCGAGTCCTCCGTCCCATCCGAGCTGCTGCCTGCTGTCCTCTGGAAACAACAACAACAACAAACACTCAGCGTGATTAAACTCTAGACAGTGACCCAACGCCGCCTCAGATGCAACAAGAGAAATCAGACAGACTTGAGTTATGTGTTTGTTTTCTTGTTTGTTTTATTACCAGCGGATAATTCAACAAAGATCCCATTCTGGGGGAGGAGCGTCAGCCTCTACATCTCCTCCGGAACTGTACCCCCTCTTTCACGATGGACTGTCAACAAAAACTCAAAATAACCCGATTCGGAATCCCCTCGCACGCACAACGATTAATTCTGAATTAATCTATTGAATCATCTCATAGGTCTTAAATCCTTCCGCGTGAATTGTCTTGTCGCCAGTTAAGTGGACAAAATATTTAGAAGACACGAGTAAGATCCGATCACTTTACTAAATAAATTAACAAATGAAATACTCGGTAACTTATCTAAGCGTGTCAATTAAAATCGAAATCGCATGGCTGTAATGCTAACAACACAAACACGGGATGAATGGGGCGATGCTGAGGCGTATATGGGCTCACCCTATACACCACAAGAAACCAAAATCCGGCAGGGTGGGGGTGGGGAAAGGGGGCTGAGGCCATTCTCATTAATAAAAATATATATTGGGGCCCATTCCCTACTGTCAAATGAAATCTCTCTTATTAGATGTCACAGGGCTTCTTAAATTACATACCTTGCACATACTGTTAGATTTTATCATTGTATATGTATTATTGATATTAGTCAATTAATGAGACATCATGAAGCAGGTTCCTTAAAAGTGACATTAAGATTTAATGATTGCAGTAATTAGACAAGAACAGTGTAGTGGCAATCTAACAACAAAAAGTGCCACTGGAGGGAATTTTAAGTCACTTTCAACTCATGGTGGGTAAAAAAGGGAATGTCCGCCGTTAATTATGTTTGCAGTATTTATTTATCAACAATCTTAAAAAACACCAACAAAAAGACGGGTGTAGACCTATTCTGCATCATAAACATAGATAAAGTCTAAACGCGCCGGACAACATCTTCACACACTTACGGTTGGAAAAACTGTGTGGCTTCCATTAATTCCCTATCCCCATTCACCTGTGTCTCCCCTTTCTGCCTACCTGTGGCTGTAATTACCAACTATGCCCAGGTGCGCAGGTGACGTTTGCAGCAGGAAAAACGTCCACACAACCAACCACACACACAAACCACAACACACATGAAATCAGCGACAACAGTAAGACGATTTTTGAATCCTAGTGGTTGCACAGTGCAAGGGGGAATGAGCATAATAAAGTCAATAGCATCAACAGGCCAACAGGTCGTTTAATTCAGAATCTAAATCAGCTTTATTGGTCAGATGCGAAAGATATTTGAACTTTGTTCTCTATGTGTAAGTATTACACATCGTTACTGAAATGTTTTCTTAAATGTCTAATTTTCCATTATTGTATTTTTTTATTCAACAGGTGTAAATATGTTTGATTTTTAACTTGTATTTTTATTTTTTAATAATTATATTCCCGTGTCCTGTTTTCTTGAGCTGCTGTAATGCAAAAATTCTATTAAAAAAAATCACTTTATAAAAAATAAAGTTTATCTTTATCTTTAAATAAAATATGAAAATAAAAAGGCGGTAATGGACTTTTTTTTTTTTTACAAAAAAGAAAAATGTGAGCTATACCACCCTTTACTGTAGCGTGAACCACAAGCGCACATTTCATTTAATAAACTTCACAACAAGGGGCTGGGCAGCTCATTTACATACGACCAATTACAATGGAGAATGGGCGTGGTCATCGCTGGCCTTAACCAATTGGCGCTGCCCTTTCCCTTGCGCTGTCCTATCACAGCCTTGTTTTGATGCGGACGCTCATTCCGTCCTCTCGCTCATAGAACAGCTTGTCCTCTTTCATCAGTTAAAAGATATCTGCGTTCACATGCTGGTGAAAAAAAACAACCAAAACTTGCAAAACCCAAATTTTCAAGTTCCCTTCCCTTACTCTACAGGAGGAACGAAACTTAATGACCAAAACCATGTTCTTGCAACTCAGCAATGTTATAAGCTAGCGTAGCAAACCAGATATTGTACAGTAACCTCATGAACATGCATATTCATCGCAAAACACACATTAATACAATCCAATGTAAACGTATTTCAGCTAACACACTGTCATACCAGTCCATACCAGTTTGCTTTTTGCCACTTGGCTCGCCAACATTAGCTATGACGTGATGTTGTGAAGTGTCCGATATGCAGTCTCTGCAGCAAACACCCGCCTTACCTTTCTACGAGGCATTTTGTAAAAGGTTCCGCGCGTCTCCGCTGAAGTATTGATGCTCAGTGCGTCGGGAAAAAATAATCCTAACTTGTATAAATAACCAGAACAAAAATGAGCCAGCTTTTGATATGAGCAAAGTCAGCTGGGGGGTTGGGGGGGAGGGAGGGAGAGAGAAAAAAAGCGCATCGATTTCTCAACACTTCCCTGTTGGTTGCGGCGCAAACTCGCGACAGTTGGTTTAGGGGAAAAAACGTCCGTCGACAAAATACCTCCGTGTGGAAAACAGTGTTTGAGTCAGTAATTCGTAATGACGTTTAGTAATGTTGGTTTATGTGCGCGAACTTTACGTGTTAAAAATAAGGAAAAGATAAAGATTAAAATAATAATAATAATAATAATAAAGAGTTGTGAGAACTAAGTTACTTAAATATTATCTGGTAATACGAGAATTTCACCAACTGGCTTCAACTCCCAAATTGTCTTTTTTTTTTTAAACAACTGAAGATGACCGTCGGTTAGTTTAATTAATTAACATTTATTGTGGTTAATTAATTTGGTTTAATTCGTGAAAATAAATGAACCCTTGGAAATTACAAACAACACCGGAAGTAAACGGGTGAAACCAAAGACTGTGAGCTCTGCGCATCTTTTTTTTTTTTTACAGCTGAGGTTTTTTTCAAGTGGGAGGGAAGTTTAGCTGGCTGCACGTTGCGTTTGACGCGTTGACTTCACCGAGCTCCACAGGAAAGTTTATCAAGTTGAAAGCTTGACAAAGAACACAGGGTTGAAGAAACTGCTCCTCTCTGGCTTCTTAACTATTATGGCTGGTAGCACCATCAAGACTGTGCACGATATTTTCCAAAGCATGGAGTACGGACCAGCAGCAGCGTCCAGCACTGCCACTGCACAGGTGAAGTTGTCTTTGTCATTCACGACAGTGGAAGGTATTTTATGGCTTTTGTTGTCACCAAACTGAGCTACATTGTGGCACATTTTAAGGTTACTGCTCACTAGGTTGAAACTATTTGACCCATGTGAAGTTCATTTAATGAAAACTGACAGTGGCCCACAAGGCAAGCATGTGACACCGTAACGCTTCAGTTTACTAAGTTATGAAATGTCAATGCTGAAGGCAAGAGGTTTGGACGTGTGTTTCCACTTAAAGGAAATCTGGACTACTGGTTTTTCATTATCAAGTCATTTCCAATTGGGTTAACCCAAGACTTAAATCATAGGATTTCTGCTAGAATTCCAGACAATAATAAAATAAAAGAGAAAGTTGGTTAGATTATTTGTTGGTGATATACATGGTAAAAGGATGAGAAAAAAAAAGATTACAGAGTACTGTAAGCAAATGTGTTGTCAGTGTTCTGTGTGGCATTTTGTTCTAACTATTAAATGTAACTGTGTGATATTACTAACAATACAGACACAGCTTGAGTTTGGTCTATGCCCATGAGCTTGCTGATTTTGAGAGTAGATCAATTCTGTACTTTGATCTTCGGTCTGTAAATAGTTGACCACTCCACTAGGTACTCTCCATCAGCAGAGGTGGTGTCTTCCTGACCAATAAAACTTAAGCATAGGTGTGGATATCTCATGTGCAGTGGCAGATTGTGTTATAAAGAGGCTCTGAGGCAATTGTTCTGTGTTAATAAAGTTGATGTGAAGTAAGTTAAATTGAAATCAAAAGCGTAATGACCAGTTGTATTCTTTTTGTCATGACGACTATATCCTGCCATTTAATACACACAAAAAAAGAAAAAGTTTTTGAAAGGTAGTAACTTGACATGGAAAATAGTTAACTTTTTGGCACCGGTGCCCTAGTGGTTAGTGCACGCACCCCATGCACGATGGCTGCAGTACTCCATGTGGGTGGCTGTGGTTCTAGTCCTTTCCCACATGTCAATCCCAACTCTCCCTGATTTCTCACTCTAGTCATCCACTGTCCTATCTCCAAATAAAGACATAAAAGTAAAAAAAAAAAAAAAAAAAAACGTTTTTTGTTTATGGTGGGAGAAAAAGCAACTCCAAATGTCAGCCACCGTTCATTATTAGAGGTGGTTTTGGTTACCATATTTTAATCATCTCTTTACCATCTGATTTGACTGTTTCTTCTTTCTCCCTCAGGCCTGGCTGGATCATCATTCTCGTTCTCTGGGTCTGTTTATCGATGGCAAGTTCATCCATCCAGTAGGCAGACAGAGCTGCTCCCTGACTGATTCTAAAGGTAAAAGCAGCCTGAATCTAAACTGCATAGAAAACACACCCAGAAGACACTTAGATCTAATATAGTGTTTTCATCTGCCGACAGTTTTTTTTTTTTTTTTAATTAAGATGAGGAAAGTGATAAATGCATGTTTTCTGACTACTCTGGTCTTCCAGGTGGAAATGTGTGCAGCGTAGTGTGCGCTGTGGAGGATGATGTCTCCCAGTGTGCGTCCTCTGCTGTCAGCGGCTACAAAGCCTGGAGTGGACTCACCTGCCACCAGAGGGCCAAAGTGCTGCTCAAGTACGACAAACTCCCCTTCCCACATTTGAGACACTTTGTCTCTTTACTGGCTGTCCTAATGTGAAGCTGCATGTCTCCGTTCACAGGTTAGTGAGCGTTCTCGGCCAGCACGGTCAGTGTGTGTCGGAGCTGTGTGAGGCATGTGGGGCCTCCTGCTCTCCCTCCACCCTTGTCAGACTGCTGCAGTACTACAGCAGCTGGGCTCAGCTCAGAGACACCCTCATCAGTAACTGGACTACACTTGGTGAGGTTATCAGGGTGTTGACAAAATATAAGTACAAGTTTTATTTTAATGAAGTTTTTGTTTAAATGTATAATGTCTTTTTCCCTAGGTGTGGTGGCAGTAGTTGTTTCTGATGACTGCTCCCTATATTCCCTTATGCTCAAAGTCATACCAGCACTGGCCATGGGTAACACACAACAAACACACATAAAAACATTCACTGCACTTTTTAGATGTAAATTGAAAAAGTTCTCTTGTACTTTAGCATTGAATCTAGGGCTGCAAATAATTCTAACGATAATTATCAAGTAAACTGCCAATCTTTTTCTGAGTTGGTCAATTGGTTTTGCTGTCATTGAAACACTCCAAAACAATGGGAAAAAAAAACATTACGGTTTTCTAAGAGTCAAAGGTGATGTTTATCTTGTCTTAAAAATGATCAAAAAGTACAAAGATGTTCAGCTTACACAAATTAAAGTCAGGGGATAGAAGTAAATGTTCACATTTCTGCTAAAACAGTTAAATGTTTGCTTGAAATTGATAATAATTCAGTTATCAGACTTTAATCAAATCTTTAATTTTGGTTCACAGTTGTGGTAAGTGAGAGTGAGTTGTAATTAAATTCCTTCTTCCTCTAGGGAACTCTGTCGTCGTTGTCCCTGGTCAGAGCACTGCACCTGCACTGCTGCTGCTCGCACAGCTTTTTATGGGAGCAGGGCTTCCAGCCGGGGCTCTTAATGTTTTAACAGGAAGTGACGTGTCACTTGGTGCTAAAGTGGCCCAGAGCCCCAGCATCAGTTACATCACCTACAGTGGCAACAAGCAGGTGTGTGAGGAAACCTTTGTCGCCTACCCATACGTTTGTTTTGTTTACTTTTTAAATAACCAAAATGGTTTTCTCATCTTTCAGAGTGGGGTGACTCTCTGTAAGGCCACAGCTGGGATGAGCGTTCCTGTTTCTTTTTCCCCCTTCATTGGTGCTACATGTCCCTTTATCATCTTTGAATCAGCTGACATTGACAGTGCAGTGGATGGAGTGATAGAAACTGCCTTCAAGAAGAAAAGAGAGGTGATTTACAAGCTTAGTACCCTCCACAGAAAGATGGATTGTGTCTTATGCAAGCCTATCAGACCATCACATGTCCTCTCCCCCCCCCCCTCAGGTCCACTGGGTGTTGTGCGTTCAGGAGAGTGTACTGGACACTGTTGTGGCCCGTCTCAAGCTGCGCATGGCAGGGATGAAGTGTGTGGGCCTGCACAGTGATGAAGATAGGGTCCTGGTGGATGCTGCAGTACTGGTAGCTCAGCAGCAGGGGGCCACGGTTAGTCAAAACAAAAAAGTTATGTCCAAGCTACAGTGGCTTCAACATGTCCAACTGAAAGAGTATACTGTACGTTCACTCCATTAGAGGAAACTATTTGATGGATACTTAGTGTACATTCATTAGATTTTCCATCCAGTAGTTAGTCAACACATGGATAGAGTCATAGCTGTTTCCTCAAACCACAGTGTTGTATTTCACACAGGTAGAGCTTTCAGCTTGGAGAGTATTTTTTCTATCCAGCTACACCTGTGATCTCTTAATTATATTATCTACATCTTTAAGTCCATGTCTCTTGTCTTCATAAGGACCACAGTAAAACATATTTTGAATGTAATTGTTGTATCCTAAATATTATGTGTGATTTTGTGTCTTCCTACAAGTAATTGCAAATAAATTAACCTAACACGCTCTCAGTAGCAAATATATGTAGAGTTTTTAAAAAACGATTGGTTTTGCTCATTTTGATCCACAGTTGGTTCAGTCCTGCGCTGCACCCCCAACAGGTTCTCAGTACCCCCCAACAGTGCTCTGTGGGTCGGTCCCTTCCTCTCCATTTGTGATCAGTCCCTCTCCTGGCCCACTGCTGCCCATCATGACCTTCAGAAGCAACACAGAAGCAGTGACCCTGGGTAAGGGGGGCTCTGTAAATATCGATTCATGAATTAAAAATTGAAGTATTTGTCTGATTTTGTTTAATACTCTGTATTTTATTTTAGCATTTGTATTGAACATTTAAACAGCTGTAGTCTCTGTTTTGATTAGGAAACCACAGTCCTCATGGGAAGGCAGCCTCTGTCTGGACTGAAGACCTCACCCTGGCTCTAGAGACAGCTAAGAGGTACACGCATACAATTTCTCTCCTCTTTCCTTTCTTCTGCAGTTTTTTTTATTTCTTGAGGGAGAAATCATTCAAAAATGTTTGCTGTGAAAAGTTTTTTAATTTTTTATTCCTGGCTTGTATTTATATTCTTCTTTTGTATTCTCAGTCTGTCAGTCGGCTCAGTTTGGGTGAATTCTCACTCTGTGTCCGATCCCTGTCTGTCTGTTTCTGGTCACAAAGACAGCGGGACCTGCACTGACGGAGGACAGGAAGTGAGTTTCACTATTTTATTACACACATACGACAGGTTACCAAAAACGGACAGTATTCTATTATGAAATATTTTGTACCAGAGATATACTATACACGTAAAGGTGACGAAAGAAGCACATCTGTTAATTTCCAAATAGGGTTAGCTAGCTATCTTTTTAGTCATTAGCATGACAGCTATAATGCGTTTAGCTAGACTATTTAAATGAAGTTAGTCCACACATGATTCTCTCAAGGCTAGAAGATATTTACAGAAAAATGTTTTGGTTATGAGCGCCCTCTAACTGTGTATATATGAGTCCTGTACTGTGCGTTGATCACCTCTCTGCTTCTCCTAGGGTCTTTACCAGTTTCTCCGCCCCTCCTCTTCTCCCTCTACTCCTCTCCCTCGCTCATTCCCTGTCTCTTTGGACTACTCAAAGTTTGGAACCACAGCATCTCCCACTGTCATTCCTGATGACTCGGACCCTGCCAGGTTGGTTCGATAGCATTCCTTTACTTTGAGTCATGTTTATAACAGATTAGGCAATATAAGCACATAATTATTTTTGAAGTACTTCATACAAGAATCATACATTGAAATTCACGCAGGTTTAACAAGATGATGTTCTTCTCACATGCATCACTCTCTCCCCCCCTCAGTGCTCCAAAGCCTTACTTACAGTTTGTGGGGGGTAAGGCATGTAAATCAGTGTCTGGCTGCAGTGTGGCTATACAGTCACCAGGGGGAGGCAGTGTGTTAGCCTACTGTCCAGATGGGGGCCGAAAAGATGTCCGTAATGCTGTGGAGGCTGCTATCAAAGTCCAGCCAGGGTGAGAGTTTGGCCACACAAACATACACCAAAAACACAACAAATGCTTGTGAGTCGTTAAGCCGTTGAAGTTCTAAAACTAAAATACATTTTCTTTTCTTATGTTAAAAACCCTCCGTGGATACATTCTGAAATTACACAGATATACATACAGTATATACAAATATAGGAATAAGCTGAGTAACAATACATTTAAACAAGGCACACATTTTTCTTTTCCCAATCTGCTGTTTGGTTTTCATGCAGCAGACATTACAAAGAAATGGCACTGAGCTGCTGTAATCAGCAATAGTTAAAGAAAGTGCTTCAGTCAGCAGCTGTCCATTGTGAATGTAATAACATGTTTCCACATTTCTTGACCACATCTCCACACTAAGGCATCAATTTTTCTCTCAAAAACAAAACTGACCAGCCCAAACCGTGTACCTCTTTCATGACTCTCTTTTAGTTTTACTAGAAAAGCTGTTGAAATTTAAATCCTAGTTTTCCGAGGTCCACTGCTGCCAGGGAGCATTATTGTGCTCAATTACAGTATTCAATTTGACCAAGGCTGAAACTCTCAATACTTTTTGAATGTAACCCCTTTTTAAACCTCAAAATGTAATTAATACAATTAAATTCATCCAGGTGAAATTTGACCCTTATAAACACCTACTATTATTCAAACTTTCAACCTCTCAATTCAGATGGACAGCGATTTATTTCAAAGCCAATTGTAGGCGTGTGTGTTTATCACCAGTCAAAGTCCAATTTGACTTTAACAATTTGTAAAAAACATAAGTTTGTCATATAGACTAATTTGGAAAAAAAAGAGTGCAGAGTGAGAAGTAAAGTAAACCATCAGAATTACAAATACCCCCCAAAACACAGCTATACCTGTTGTTACCCAAACACTGGCTCTTAAAGGTACAGTGCATGATCATATATATTATATACAGTATCTGCGTGTGTGGGTATGGAATAACATAAGTCACTCATGTTATGGGCTGTGCTGTGGTTGTATATGACATTTGTTTTAAAATCTTTTCCCTTTTCTAGCTGGATGAAAAAGAGCCCTTCTGCACGCGCTCAGTCTCTCTACTCTCTAGCTAAGGGCCTGGAAGCAAAGAGGAAGGACATATCTACGTCAATCAATGTCCAAACCGGTCTGTCAATGGAAGAGGCTGAGAAAGAGGTGGAGCTTAGCATCATCAGACTTAGTGATTGGGCAGCCTACTGTGACAAAGTCCAGGGAGGAACTGTGGTGAGGGCTTTTTCATGTAACGCAAATTTAATAAAATAAAAAAAACTTTCCATTATTGTCAGAAAAATTGGTTGTATTTCCTGAGACAGCTTTCACATATTGTTTGTCCTTTGTCCCTCCAGCCTATGCCACAGTCTGGCTCTGCTCTCTCATATGCTGAAGCCTTAGGAGTCTTGGGGGTCATCCTCCCTGACAAGAATCCCCTCCTGTCAATGGTAACACTTCTTGGGGCAGCTGTCGCCACTGGCAATGCAGTCATCTTGGTCCCAAGTGAGAAGTACCCACTACCTGCTTTGGCATTTATTCAGGTCAGTTTGAAAATGCTAAATTTGCTTTTTGGCTTAATTTAGGTATTATAGTATTCATATGAACATGTATGTTTATATGGACTGTGTCATTGTGCTATCATCTTCTGCATTGACTTAAAACAACAGGACCGATAGGGCAACCAACCATTGATTTTAATAAACCTACTGATAATGTTCATGGATGGAAACATGCTTAAATTACCGTACATAATTTTTTTTGCAGATATTTTGGAAGTTAAAATAGAATAAATCTTGGTTGTCATTGCTATATAAACAACGAATGGCAGTTAAGCAGCTCTTTGTCAGTGGTGTACAGATTAAACAGTTATATTAAAAAACAACATAACACAGAAACATTAATCACGAGCAATGGGCTGCTGTTTCTGACACCACTGTCATTTTCTGACATCAGAGCAAAGACAGACTACTCGAGTGACTGTAGAGCCCTTGCAGTTTTTTGGGCTGGTAAGTTTGCTGAGACAGTCTTGTACAGCCGAGTGTCATCTGCATAAAAGTCTAAAATTACATAAAATTGATTATTTAAAATTCTATCGTTAAATTATGAACACAAATTTAGTGGGGCCAAGAACAGATCCTTGAGGTATGCCAAAGTCAAATGACTATACTAGATGTTTGTGTACAGCAGTCTTTGTGACATATACCCTGATTTTCATAGTCCCTTTCTTCCTTCTGCTCATCTCTAGGTACTCCAGGCTTCAGACCTGCCAGCAGGTTTGGTTAATGTTATCTCTGGAAGTAAAGACCAACTGACAGCAGCACTGGCTCATCACAGCGTCATCAAGGCCATCTGGTACTGGGGCAAAGCTGAGGTGATGATGTGAAGACAGGGCCATTAAAAAACATTGTTACTTCTGAGAGCAGAATTATCTTAAGTTCTCACTCTGTATTAAACAATAACTTCTCTTGCTCTCTGTTTTTTTGGTCTAGGGCTGTCAGTTCCTCCAGTACACCTGCACCAGCCCCCTGAAGACATTGCGCCTTTTCTGCCAAAATGACGCTGGAGAAGACGGAGGGAAAGACTGGTGTCATTCTTTGGTCCTGGAAGAGATGTGGAGAAATGCCGTCCAATGGAAAAGTGTTTGGATTCCTACAGCATGAAAGACAGAGGGAGAGAGTATGCAAAGTGAAATATATATAATAAAATGTAACCTTTGGGGCTTGGATTTAAATGGAAGGATTGTTTAAAAAATTAGATGTTAGTTAAATTACCGTTAAAGTAAGAACACCACCACCCTCCTTAATAACTGCTGCAACACATGCCAACTTACTTTACTTGCATTAGCAGTTTACAACTTTGTGACTTTGCTCTTCAAAGGTGCTATATAAATACATTTTACATACTAACTTACTTTCATACAGCGGGGAAACTGAACAGTGTGGACCTTCTAGTTGTGAATTTAGATTTTTTTAAAGCACAGTTACTACTATAAATGATTTGGTTAACCAGACATGCTAACTATTGGTTTTGTTTTTTAGGTGGTAATTATTTCTTGAGGCAGTTGTTTCAACATCTTATGGCCAATAATTTTTATACACAAGAAATCAAACATTAGTGAAACCTAAGGTCTCAGGTAATGCGAAAGGGCTAGCAGAAACAAAACAAACCTGAAAATCAAAATCAAAGACGAATTGTAAATGTAAAACCCTCAGCTTTCAAATGTGTTGGTGTGCTCCAATATTGATACAAATATTTTAAAAACATGCAACCTTAAAATTAAGATAAAATAGTGACTAATTTAAATGTATTTAAATTTGAAGTTTCCACAAAAAGATTCAAATGCTCCCAGAAATCATGAAGTCCTGCCCAAAAAAAAGGTGAATGTCTTATTTGGTTATAACATGATTTTTTAGAAAGGTCTGCTTGTGAGCAGACCGACTTAATACAGAGGTTATGGCAAAAGAAGCTACAGTGACTCAATCTGGGTTTCAAACACATTTACAAAAAGCACTTAAACAGGCACTGAATTAGAAAGGGTTTATATTAAACTCCTTTTATGAGGGTCATATGTCTACAGTATTGCTGAAGCATTAACCTGTGACTATTGCTTTAATTGTGAACATCTACAATGGGGTGATTTAAATGACATATTCCTCCATTCCAATAAAGACAGCCAGTGTCGGTCATTCCTCTCAGTAAAAAGTCCACCTGACATTTGCTCTGCTGTTTGTGCAATCATAAACACATGACCTGATAACCTTCTACCTCTTCTTCTTCAATCATGTTGTTTTTCATACACGCCACACCTCTGGTTTATTTCTACTTTTCTGACTTTTCAGGCAGATTTGAAGATAGCAGAACCCTGGTTGAGAGAATATTTAAAGGGACTCGAGATTTTGAAGTACATTAGATTATAATAGAGACTTGTTTATTTCATTACAGTGTCTCAGTTGAAGTAGTAATTTGACTTCAAATATATCTCTTTTTTTCAGTCTACCACTTAAAACCTCACACGTCTTAAAGGTTCTGTTGATGACTGAGCAAAAGTCTCTCGATCATGGTTTGACTCAATCTAAACATTCTGTACTGTTTATCATTAATACTGTATAATCATTCTGTTTTAAGCCATGAAAGTGCCCGTGCAGCAAACATTCCCTGTAAAATGTTGTGTGTTTCCATGTCCAAATTCACATTGTAGAAAAATATGTTTCATGCAGATCTGTTCATGTGCTTGTAAGCCCTGTTTCACTGAATGCAATCCATAAAAGAAGATCATATTTAATGGATTTTAGCGCATGTTTTTTTTATTTAAAGTAAACGTTTGGGCCTTTGGCTTCATTGGATAGGGCTGCTGAAGAGAGACAGGAAATGTGGGGAGGAGAGAGTAAGGGATAACCGCTAGGCTATCGTCAGTTGAATTGAAATAGACAGCCAAATAACAGATTGCAATTGTATTTATTTCCGACATTCATAGCCCCCCTTTATAATCCTTTTATTTTTCATCTAATTTCAGACCCAATACCTAGAAAACTATTGACATAGCCATCATCTTTAGCTGTCCCTGGTGTTTAGCGCTAATAAGCAAGTGTAAGCCTTCTTAAATATGGTACAGCTTCCTGACATCAACAGTTTGGCATTTCTTGTGAACTTGTCAGTATGATGACATGAGCATCAAAATCAAAGCAGACTCATAACTGTAGTCATCTTCAGAGACCCAAGTTAATAAAGGAAAAATAAATCAGAATACCACAATTAAAAAGGCTTATTTTGGAACAACATGACAATATAGATCACTGTTATGCTTGCAAGGCTATAAGAAAACGGGCTAACTATTCAGAAACAAAAACAACATTGTGTACAAGTTGTGTTTCTTTTGTGTCTAGAATTGAGCAGCTTTGCATGACATTCAACCTTTAAGAATTTTTTGTAGCTTGGTTCATCTTTTAGCTATCACTTAGTGTTACTAATACACACATACATGTAGACACTGTCGCAAAACTGGACACTGTGTTTAAAATGCTTATATCATGTATTGGTTCCCATTTTGAATCCTTGTTCCTTTTTCATTTTTTCAAACTTGTTCCAGCCAGTTGAGCACTCAAACGTCTTATAAGACCTCTTCACTTGTACAAGACTCCTCCCTTTTACCGCCATCATGACCAAACAAAGTAAAGGAAGTATGGCCTTGAGACTGTGGTATGCTGAGTCAAAACAATGACTCAGCACAGTTCTCAGTTCAACTTGATACTGCTTTTCACAAGATTGAGCAATTATGTGATATGACAAGGCAAAAAAAGACATCTAAATTGCTGAGTCACAGCAGGTACTGTGTTATATTGTTGGATACAAAGATATTATAGCCACACAGTGCTCTTCATCAACAAAATTGGTTTTATTGTCGCCTAGTTTAAAGACCAACAATAAATGTAGGACAAGTTATGTTGCTTACATGAAAATGATGATAAGTAAGCGGTAGCTACATCAATCAGTCTGCATGTTTTGCTACCTGTTTCTCTTTTATTTCCTGTTACAATACGGTACAATTGTCGATGTTTAGCACAGATGCTAAATTTCATGTCCAATAATCTTCAAGGCCCTTCAATGCTCAGTTCTCTAAGCCAGGGGTTCCCAAACTTTTCATCCCGCGACCCCCAAAATAACGATGCAAGAGACCGGGGACCCCTTCTGTCCCTGGAAGTGGTTAAAGCATAACGCTGCACACAGCAGCACGCACTAATGGGCCTATCCAAACACTGACATTAGAACAACAATAAAAAATACAGCAGCCTTAAACTAATTGAACAACATTTTTGTATGTAATTTCACAATAATAGGTAAAATATGTAATTTCAAGTCATTTCCAGTTTGCATTTGTTTTTGGAAGGCAACTCGTGACCCCAGAGGGGGTCCCGACCCCCACTTTAGGAACCACTGCTCTCTGCCACTTATTCTATTCATGCAGCTTGAGCCTTGACATGGTGTTCAGTACAATACAAAATCATGTATTATTGGTAGGAATTAAACCTCTATAAGACTTTTGAATACAGCATTTTTTTTGCTTTCAGCAATCAGAGGACTTTTCTGGCTTTCCAAACTCAGTATTTCTCAACAGTGGTATTAAGTTATGCAATAAAAAACGCCTCGGTGAAAAGCATGTTATCAGCAGTTCTGGGAGTTCATGGTGTGTTCATGGTGTGTTCACGAGGTAAAACTAGTTCAGTTAGCAACAATAAAAAAAGGTAGATAAATTTCTCAGCCCCAAAGAACACTCTGAAACAACAAGTACAGTAAAACATTATCAAAGGTCATTTGCCTTTATTTGCAGTTGCAAAACACTCAAATGAAAGTTTTTAAGATGATTAAATCATTTTTTATTTTCATAGCACTAGCCTACTGAAATTATGTAGGCCTACAACACAAAACTGTTTTAGTGTTAAAAAATATCATTTGGTTTTCCTGTTTTATCGAGACCTTAGTAATTAATTGTTAGATAGATAGATAGATAGATAGATAGATGGATGATGGATGGATGGATGGATGGATAGATAGATAGATACTTAGATAGATAGATAGATAGATAGATAGATACTTAGATAGATAGATAGATAGATAGATAGATATATACTTAGATACTTTATTGATCCCGAGGGAAATGCAACTTGTTGGAGGTAAACTGACAATCAGCCTACATTCTTTCTCACAAAAAATAAATCATTTAAAAATATATATATATTTTCTTTAATTCACATAAAATTATGATTTTATTCTCTTGAAACATCAAAAGTGCTTTGTGACTGAAGGTGAGTGGTAGCTCAGAATAAACTAATAGAATATTTAACCTCAGACAAAGTGGTGAAAAATGCAACTTCATCCTCATAGTTTTTTTTTTTTTTTTTACCAGCGTCATGTGAGCTTTGCATTGGTGTGTTGTAGAAGTGAGCTTTGAACGAGTGGGCGGAAATGTGGGCAGTGACGTTACGTCTGTCACGAGACCGTACGTCGGGTATAAATACAAGGAGCGACGCCTCCACCATTTCACACCAGGGAAGAAATCTGCAGGAGTTCTTGCTTCAACAGTGTTTGAACGGAACTTCTTCCTTCGTCCCGATTTTCTTCACAGTTCGTCTGCATTCCGGACAAGACTTTCTACTTGAACACTACTGAAAAGGTCGCCGTAAAAGCTCTATTTTTGTACCGTTTTGTTAAGAAAAGCGCAAAAAAAAAAAAAACGTCAGCCAAAATGGAGTCCCAAGTACGTCAGAACTACCACCGCGACTGCGAGGCCGCCGTCAACAGGATGGTCAACATGGAGTTGTTCGCCTCCTACACCTACACTTCCATGGTGAGAGAGAAACACGTTTTTGCACAGACTTAATCTAAACTGCAGATTCCAAAATGGGCTGCGCGATGTGTTAAACCTTTACATTCAACCTGAAGTGGGATAGTAACCATAGACTGTGTAGCATCTTATTGCATGGTGAAAGAATGGGGGAAAAATCGATACAAATGCTACTTAACGGCGTAGTGTTTATATTGTATCTTTACTCAAAGCAGCTCTTCAGTCTCTGCGTTTCTCTGTTTTTAATATTTACAGTCTACGGTTGTTTATCGCTGATCAGCAGGTTGCCAGATAAGGAGTGCTGTATCCCCCCACTCACTTCACTGCAAAGAAAGTGCTGTGTCATGCTTACTACTCACTGACTCCTTCTTACTCATTGCTATCTGTGCCTAAACAGACAGCACACCAAAGTAATGACTCGTATTACTGACCACTGGCTTCATAACTACCATTTGTCGCGACCGTTTTCATCCAAATAATAACCGGTTATGTCCCCTAATAACTGTTTTTGTCCTCCCCTCTTGTCTCTTGCAGGCCTATTACTTCTCCCGGGATGATGTGGCCCTTCCAGGCTTCGCCCATTTCTTCAAGGAGAACAGTGACGAGGAGAGAGAGCATTCTCAGAAGCTGCTGGCCTTCCAGAACAACAGGGGAGGACGCATCTTTCTGCAGGACATCAAGGTGGGCGCAGACTGCAGAACCGGTGTATTGCTGTGTATTCTTTAGGCCTTGAACTATATTATACCTTTTACAATGTTAGATAACATGTTCAAACAATACTATATCTGTTGAACGCTGTTGGTAGCAGTCTGAAGGTCTACTGCACATATAATTATTGCCTAAATAACCTATTTTCCTCTGCAATCATTTAATACACCAGCTTCATTGGGCCATGTGTACAAAAGGTTTAATATGAACATGTTCGGTCTACTAAATGTAACGTTTTTGTTCTTTTTAGAAACCGGAGCGTGATGAGTGGGGCAGTGGGCTTGAGGCCATGCAGTGCGCCCTACAGCTGGAGAAGAATGTCAACCAGGCTCTGCTCGACCTGCACAAACTGGCCTCTGAGCACGTCGACCCACATGTAAGTTGCATTAAAGATGATCTAAGAAGGCGTTGTGTATTTGATTAAACTTCAAAAGTATCTGTTTCTTTACCAAACCAACACTTTTTCTTTTGTCTTCTCCTGCCCTCAGATGTGCGACTTCCTGGAGACCCACTACCTGAACGAGCAGGTGGAGGCTATCAAGAAGCTGGGTGACTACATTTCCAACCTCACCCGCATGGATGCCCACACCAACAAGATGGCAGAGTACCTGTTTGACAAGCACACCCTGGGTGGGAAAAGCTAAATGCAGAGTCAGGATTAAGCTTTCAATGAGAGTCTTAATGACACAAAGGCTTTAAAAAAAATAAACACCTTTCTGCTTTATCTGTTCATTCACTCAGCCTCAATTTAAGTCTAACCTGCTTTGTCTACGATGGTGATAAATTCTCTTGATCTGGTGGTGTCGCTGTTCTTTAAATGTCATTTGTCAGGATGGGTATTCATCAAGGTATGGGTTGCCCTTGTTACCTGTTAACCCTCCTTTTGGCACTTCTGATTGTTTCTGAAACTGAATAAACATTTTGAGCTGGACTTAAATTTGTGTTTGCATCTGTTACAGAACCTTTTTTTTTTTTTTACATTGTGGGTTATGTTAAATCACAGCACCATGTCAGTCAGAAACATATCTTTGAAAACTTGTTACAGGCTTTCCATCTCTGTGAATTCTTAAGGGTGCTCAAATTGTTTAGTTTTAGTATCAGAAATGTTTTCTGACGTAATGGGGAATTTGTCTCCTGAAACCCTAACAAAGACCGGAAAATGACTGTTCTTACAGTCTATTTCGCTATTATATATATTATGTATTTGGCTGAATATATAAAGAGGGCACTATCATGTCA